GAGTAATTGGGACGATCGGGATAGGTATTTTTGGCTGAGGTGACTCGGTATTTAGACCATCAATCTCAGGTATTTTTGACTGAGGGGACTCAATTATGGTATTTAGATCGTCAATCTCCCAAAAATTTCCATCAAGATTACTTGTAATAGGCTCAGTCTCCCCCTGAAGGGAATTTAGGGAGAAAAAAGATTGAGACTAAAAAAATGTGACATCCATGGTAGTGTAAAATTTATTGGTGATTGGACAATAGCATTTATAGCCTTTCTGAGTAGGGGAGTAACCAAGGAAGACACACTTTCTGGCTTTTGGCTCCAATTTGTGACGTTCGTGATCATAAACATGAGTGAATGCAGTACATCCAAATATTTTGAGGGGGATTGTGAGGACAGATCGGATTTGCGGATAAATAGTGAGTAAGATTTATAGTGGAGTGTTAAATTTCAGAACACGAGAGGGCATCCGATTAATGAGATAACAAGCAGTAAGGACATCATCACCAAAAAACGGTTAGGAACAAAATTGGTGAACATGAGAGCACGGGCAGTTTCTAAAAGATGCCTATTTTTCCTTTCAGCTATACCATTTTGTTGGGGGTAATGACACAAGAACTTTGGTGAATCATTTCATTTTGAGACAGGAAAGTTCCCAATGTTTGATTAAAATATTCTGTCCCCTTATTTGTGCGAAGAATTTTAATTCACGTATTAAATTGATTATGAATGAGAGAATGAAACTGTTGAAAGATTGATGCAGTTTCTGATTTTTCTTTAAGTAAACGGACCCAACAAATCCTAGTGTGGTCATCAGTGAAGGTAAGGAACCAACGTTTACCGGACATAGTTTTGATGCGAGACGACCCCCATAAATCACTATGAATCAGTGTGAATAGACTGGATGGTATATACTCAACAGAAGGATAAGATGTACGAGGGTGTTTTTCAAGTTGACACACTTCGCAAGTAAAAATGTCATCTTTATGAAAAAGTAAAAAGGTCATCTTTATGAAAAAGTGAAGGATACAAATGTTTAAGATACTGAAAACTCAGGTGCCCTAAACGGCGATATAAAAGTAGCATTTGTTGTTCTCTAGAATTCGACTCACTGCCAACCTGGAGAACTTGTTTATTTCTTAGACTTGGTCCTCTGAAGTAGTAGAGCCCTTCAAAGCCATCAGCACTGCCAATCGTCGTTCCCATTATCAAGTCCTAAAATAAACAGAGTCAGTGAACAGGGCCTGACACTTTAAATCATGAGTCAACTTCTGAACATAAATTCGATTGGAACATAATTTAGGCACATGGAGCACTGAGTGCAATGTAATGTTCGGGCTAAGAATAACAGAACTAAAGCCCTTAATAATGGCCAATGACCATCTGCAAGCTTGACATGTGTTTGAATCGGGTTGGGTGAGTACATGGTAAACATATCATGAAAAGCGATCATATGATCAGTTGCACCCGAATCTAACATCCACTGATCGGAATGTTGCTGACTTGTTAAAGCTGCACTAAAAATACCTCGTTGTGTCACGAAACTTGACGAAGGAGTAGACTCAACCTCATTGGTATTTTTTCCGTTGAGTTTTGCAGAGGTAATTTGGAGCGAAGTGTTTTCAGAGATAGATATGTGAGGTGTCGTGGCTGTGCTTTTAGGGATAGAAATTGAGGTCGTATTCGATCCTTAGGAACTCTCATCCTTCCACACATCAGTCATCATGGCTGTTTTAACCATTCTGGTGTCAATCTAAACCTAGCTCTGATACAGGATAGAGACACTAGAGAGAAGAAATAAATTATAGGTTACAAGAGGAAACAAAATCTAGGAATAACCTCCTAACTTCCCTAAGGTTATTTATTTGCTAAATTTAAACACAAAATCTAAACAACTTTAAAACAACTCCTAAGTAATTCCACGTAATCTTAACTTCTAACTAATTCAACAAGAACATATCAAGTTAGTATAGAATACACCAAAATATGAAAGAGAATTATAATAAACAACACTCCTGATAAGAGGATACTAGGCGTAGGACAATACTACATTGAACCATGACTTCGAGATATGAAACTTCGTTAGGATAAAGTGCTTAACCAGAGATATCTAAAGAATAGTAAACGACTCATAGATTGAGGTGGAAAATAATTATCCAACTTGGAGAAATTTTTTTCTAATGGATTGGGATTTCTATTCTCCTGTAAACTTTCTTTTCACTTTCTTAACGTACACAAGGTCTTGGATTAGAGAATCCCCTTGAAATATTCAAAAAGTTCCTTGTGATTAATGCATCTCTTGGAGACTTGCACAAGTCTCAGATTTTTGGAACTCTTCTGTTATAGGAAATGTCTGTGATGCTCCCCCCGAAACTGATGTAGTCGGGGACGAAACGGAGCAGGGGAAACATCTAAACATGCCTCCTTCCTACCATCATCCAGGTTAAAACTGTCTGCAACACAGCCCATATCAATAAAACTACAGCTGAGGCCATAAACACCATGGAATAGTGGCTGCAAAACTTTGCGATTTTTGGCTTATTAGTAGCAAGCATCAAGGCGTTAAACGCACCTGAGAATGCCATCACAACTGAAATTAGAAAGGCATGAAATGTTGAAGGATGGCCCTTGAAGATTATAGTAGGCACAGGATTCCCATTCACTTGCTCAAAAGGAAACAAGAGAATGAGAGTGACTGTTTTGAAGGAGAAGCACAGTATACAGTGCAGGATATTGGTTGAAATGTCCAAGCTCGAACATGTCTTATGAAGGACATGGAAATGCTGGGCAAAAGAAGTTTCTGGAGTCATTTTGACATCTCCAGTGTTCTTCATTGCCATAAAATCCTAGGGAACCTGTATGGGGGATCTGTGTTATTTGGTCACATTTATAGTTGAAGTCGGCTGATTTTAAAGCAGCTTCTGCAGGGAAATTTCTTCTCTGGCCATGACAGAAAATAAAGCCTTTGTGAGAATCTTCCAAGGAACTTCCTAAAGGGCTGTTGATTTTTTGAAGCTTCTGGGAAGTGAGGCCATTGGAGAGAGAAAAGGGACAAAAAAGAAAAAGAAAAAGAAAAAGAAAAAAAGCAAAAGAAAGAGAATCCAAGAGCCATAGAAATACACAAAACACTATGATCCCGACCGAAATTCCACAAAGAAAGCAAGTCAACTGACTTGACTCGTGATTGATCGCAAATTGCTAGGAAATTTCCTCGTCAATGAATTCACTGTTTATCAGATTGAATCTATAGTTAGTAGGTGTGGTTAATTAATAAACTTGTTTGATTCAAACAATTTCTTTCTAAAAATTCAGGAGCCAAGTATTAAGGTTACATGGACTGAAATTGACATTAAGTAAAGGAAGCTGATGTTTTGAAAGTTGGACAAGTAAAACGGATGAAAGCTGTAGGATAAAAATATGAAAAATAAGATTTAAATTTAGATACTATTTTGGTCTCTTTAATTTCAGTATTAATTCGTTTTGTTTTATGTACTTATACAATAGTCAATTCGTCTTAGTCGATGTACTTTTAAAATAATTATTTTTATCTATATATTTTTTAAAAAAATGATAATTTTGGTCCATTCATTTTCATTTTTATCTAATTGTCTTGATACTTTCACCCACTAAATTTTTTTTAGTACAATATGTGAAGGTGAGGATCAAACTCACAACCTCTTGGTTGGAGATATATGCCAATTACGATTGAGTTATACTCGCTTTTGGCTTTTCCCCCACTAAATTTGTTGAAATATAGCTATAAATTTATATGAAACCGTATAAAACGAAAGTATTAAAAAAAATATT